CAACATTGCTTGATTTGTATTTAATTATAACTTTCATATCTTAATTTTTTTAATTTTTATAATAAAAAATATTTTTTCAAGATAAAAATATAATACATAAGAATTATGTTATTTTAAAAATATATTATTATTTTTTTTTTTATTATACATTAAATTATATATGAAATTATTAAAAATATGACAAATAAACAAAATTAACTAAAATCATATAGAAGTTGACAACTAAACAAATTTACTTCTCAAATAATATTATAAATTAAAGAAATAAATAAGTACATCAACTTCAATAGGAAAACCAAACTGCCATTTAACAAAAAAAAAGGTTTTAGAAGGAAACAATGTCCGTATAAATATAATGCATTAAGATATACTAATAAATTGTGATATTAATTTGATTAGTAGTAATAGTTATAGGAATATGACTAAATTTATTATAAAGATCTTTCTACATCAAAGAACTCGATATATTAATTAAGATGATTCTACAAATTTTGTCGTGTATGTTAAGTCAATTCGGAATCAGCAACTTTAAATGGAAAAAAATGAAAACCATGTATACTACCGGGTAACCCCTATCGTAAAGTAGGATTTGTGTGTAAATTTACGTGTATATATTAATATATATATATATATATATATACAATATGCCTTGAGACGCTTAATCGATAACTCTTCAGTTCGTTTTTTTTTTGAAAAAGGTCAATTCGATTTTTCATAAGTTATTCTTATATAATTTCGGTTTAATTTAAAGATGTGAGAGCTAAACCGTCTGACTTAAACCCATTGTAATCCCTACTCGTCACGAGACAAAAGACGTGGACGGGTTAACATATACAGTTATACCCATGCAAAGGTCTAATCTTACTTGGAGCAATCATACTAGGAACCATTACTCATTATTTTTCTAACCGAGACAAAACAATATTGGTGCTTAAATCAATAATCCTGATCTTTTGGAATTTTAGTTACAAAATAGTATCAAGATAAAATAAAATTAGTTAGAAACGTTTTATGTCTGGTAGTACTATTGTTATCTTTTTGCTTACCTGAATCATTCACACTACACTATTTCCCGATGTCTGATAACTTTCTTTGGATGAGACACTGAACAATATTTTCAACCCAATAATGGAAGGAATATGAATAAATAGGATCCAATCATTTTATGGTATTGTCATTGTTTATTTCTGTGCGAAATTCGTCACTTACTGAGAAAAAAAATACCTATATATAATACATGCATCAATGCATTTACGTATGTTTATGTGTGATTGCGTGTAGAAAATGCTCACATGCATATAATCCGAAGAATCTTTAGAATCTTGGACTTGATGAGAAATGAAATATTCAGACACCAAGTCTTGACTAATTTTACCAAACACCAAGTGGATGTTTATGTTATTTATAATGGCTGGAGCAACAATTTAAACCAATTATTTATTTGAAATATTCAGGCAATTAATCATTCGTCTCTTTTGTTCTTTATATTTTACCATGTAGGAAAATATCTTTATGTAAAAAAGTTAAGCTTGATTGTTAGAAAGGAAAAGATAATTATCAGACTTGTGATCTTAATTAAATTTTTCGAATGTGGTGTTTAAGATTAATAATCATATGGTTGGAAAACGTGATAACAAGAAACATATTAATCTTAAGTAGGTAATTTTGTATTTATCGATGAATGCAAGCGAGATTCAGTTTGTCTAAGTTTCCTTGCGTTTACTTAAATATCGTCTAAATTATAGTACTATATATGTTTCTAAGCGGGATTATTGGTCACTTGGCTCAATGGGAGAGAACACTGCACAAAACCTTGGGGTTTGTCTTTGCCAATCCAAAGGATTCGCCATGTCTCTCTTTTCTCACGTTGGCTCATCTCCTAACAACTCGTCCCCACGTGCCTCCCTTTTTCTTGTGTGTTTCCATTTAATTAACGAATAAGGTAACTTCGACCGGAATATTATGGGACATAGTAAATGTGACAAGTTGGACATTTAGAACCAACGCGTGGCATTATTATTAGTTGATAACTACTAGATCCTAAAGTAAGTATATTACTGACTTGAACAATTAGGGAGGTGACAAAATGAGTTTCATTTCATTTCCTTTATATGTTATCAACTTATCATATTGTTGTATTATGCTTTTTCATAATCTCTGATGATAAGATTTATTGTTTTTTTTTTTTTGTAAACTGGCTTTTGATACGATTTATTGGCGGCAAAAGAGAATGACTAAAAATTGATCTTCAAACAAGAGATGCATAACTCAAAAAAGAGAAGCATACAACGATATACACAACACAGATTAATAGATATTGAAATAGTAAACATAACCAAAGTGGAATGAGAGATGTGTTAGGGAATGTTTTGGCCAAACTATTGATAAACCACTTCCTCGTAAAACAACCACATAACACCTCAGAAATCAAATTACAAAAACTCCATAATCCGACAATTTAATATCACTGCTAGATCCTTTAACACAATTCTTAAAGTGGCAATGTCGAATGCAATACAAATGCCTAAGTGCGAAAGGTGCATAGGTGTATTCAGAGTTTTTGTAAATATAGGTGTATTTATAGTTTTTGTATATGCATTTTATGTTTTGGAACTCTTGGAAGAAGAAAACATGAAAAAAGAGTAGTTTGAAGATTTTTGGTTTGTGGAAAAGCATGTAAAAACCAAACCACTCCTATGGAATTTACTTCTCATACTCTTAAACTTGTGCTTAGGAAATATGATTTATCAAAAGAATATAAATATAAATATAAATTTTAAGTTGGTGAAGATGGTTTTTACACATAAAGAGCAACATAAACTATCAATATATATTTGGAAAATTTTGTGAAGAACAAAGAGATGTGTAATAAATTATTTGTCTCAGGCATCCACGTGAAACAATACACAAACGTATAAACTAACACAAAGTCTGTACATACTAATCCTTTTGATACTATGTAAAAGATGGTGGATTTATATATACTATTTTTTCTCAAGAAAGGATGATCATCGGGTGCTTTGGCGGTTGCAGAAAGTTCAAGATGTCTACTCACGGTTCTGCTGAGTCTATTATGCATGTACTGTTCTGATGCTCGGAACAGTTTTAGCATAGACATTACTTGCTCCTCTCCTCGGATCATTCAGAATATATAGCACCTGCGAATCAGACTAAACAACTACATTTCGATATCCAAAACCAGTCATTATTGATACCGCCCGTCTGAGTGCTTCAGCTTCCGCTTCTGTAGCGGATCTCAATCCTTGAAATCTTCTAGCTCCTCATATAATTAAGTGTTGTTTTTAATCGTGTAAGTAAAGAAACAATTAAAAATAATAGAAATTTCAATGTCACTTCGGTAAATATTTTTGTACATGTATTTTTTTTTACGCCTAGTATCATATGTGGTAAATTATAAAAGAAATAATCTCTAGTTATCAGCAATTTAATGAAAAAATAGTGTTTGTTCAACTAATTTCTACCTCTCTTTTTTACACAAATATTCAAACAGATTTTTTCTATTGAGTTGGAAACTACAATGGCCCAAATATTAAATTTAATCACTTTTTAGAAAATTTAATCACGGCTTTATGAAAAATACTTTTGTGAATGACCCTGTAAGATTTACATTTTGATACTATAAGATTATATATTTAGTGCATTCCCTTTTAACATCAATCATGAATTAATAAAATGTACCGAATCTCATTGTATCAAACGAAAACAGAAAGAACATTTTTCTAATTCCTACAAATTAGGAATAGCTTTGATTTTCTGAACCCAAGTAAAACTCGAAAAATCAAACATGAATTTCTAAAGGAAAAACTAAATGAAAATTGTGTGTGAATACAATTCTTTTAAAAATATTTAAACTAATATTTGAGAAGCGTGGAAAACCCCTAGACCAAGCACCGGTGGGAGAGCGCGTGAAAGAACAAATAGTACAAGAAAAAGCCCACAACTAATTATAAATGGCGGCAAATCCTAGGTTGCTTGCCACGTTACTTTATAGCTGTAAATTGGTAAAGATATTTTTTGCAAAAGGAAAACGATAGTAAGATTTTAGCTGACATATATTTTTATAAGATCATAGAATATTTTTAACAGATATTTTCCTCTAAATGCGTTAAGCAAATAAAAATAAATACATAACTTCCTAAATAAATATTCATTCTTTGTTTCCTTGTTTAGGAAACAATATAATGCCAGTATAATGTCACCGAACTATGAATATAACGTTTTATTAATTTTTTTTATAAAATTTGGTAACAGTTGGAGAATTTGTATGGAAAGACGAAATCACCCTTAACAATCGTCATTAATTACTTAAACATGTCGGTCAAAGCTACTGAAAAAACAAGTTGCCAAGAAGTAATTTATTTTTATAAAAGTTACTGCTAAAAATTAATCTTTAAAAGAAAAACAGAACCGGGTATCTTGGGCATCACGTGATAAAAATCGCGAAGTTCAAGACTGATAGCCACGCGCTGACTCAGCACATACTGTAAGCAACAACAAGAGGCCAAATATCTAATATCGACATGTGTTACCATGCAACTTGCTCTTATGAATGCGGCGTACCGTGATTTAAATTTCGTATTCCAAAAATAACCATCCATTTAGTGAATATATACCTGAAAATGCCACTGCCGTGGAACATACAGAAATTAACATTAAATAATAATACTTTTATTATTAAAATAATTACAGTATAGATTCTCTCTCCTAACAATCCTATAAATGAGAATGTTAAGAGTGAGCTTGATAAAGTCTTCACTGTGTTTCCAAAACTCGTTTCTCTCTCTCTCTCACCAGAAAAAAAAATTAAAATCGAAGATTTTTTTTTTTGAGATAAATCTCTCATAAGTTTTTGCTTTTCTCGTTTTGATTCTATCGATATCTCTTCCTAAGAAACCGATAAACTTTTCTTGATTCTCAAGTTTTTTCCCTTCTTTTATAAACCTATTTTTTCTTTTCCATATTGATGCGAATATTGAGAGATGGATGAGTTACACGAGTACATGGACTTTCGACCATTGAAATACTCAGAACACAAAACATCAGTCACTAAATACACCAAAACCTCACCGGCAAAAAACAATATCTCCGACCAAACTCGACCCGACTCTGTCAGAATCATTCGTGTCTCCGTAACCGATCCTTACGCAACCGACTCATCAAGCGACGAAGAAGAAGACTTCCTCTTTCCTCGCCGGAGAGTGAGAAGATTTGTAAACGAGATCAAAGTCGAGCCAGACTGCAACAACACCAACATCACCGGAGTTTCGATGAAGGAGAGAAAGAGACTCTCATCATCATCATCATCTCCGGCGTTGAATCGTCACCGTCCTCTGAAAGTTTCAACCTCCTCAGGACAAAACGTGAGGAAGTTCCGCGGGGTTAGACAACGGCCGTGGGGAAAATGGGCGGCGGAGATTCGAGATCCGGAGCAGAAACGGAGGCTTTGGCTCGGAACTTTCGAGACGGCGGAGGAAGCCGCCGTGGTTTATGATAACGCCGCTATTAGACTCCGAGGACCGGACGCCTTAACTAATTTCTCTATACCTCCACAATCTCAAGAAGAGTCAGAACCGGAACCTGAACCGGTTATTATTAAACCGGAAAGCGATATTACAACGACGATAACATCGAGTTCCGAATCAACTGAAGATTTTCAACATGTTTCTTCTCCCACATCGGTTCTCAATCTCCAATCATCCGAAGAGATACAACAACCGTTTAAATCATCTAAACCGGAACCGGAAATTTCAGATGCATCCGTGTGGTTTAGTTCCGGGTCAGTTGAGACAGATGATTCGTTTCCGTTGGATACTATGTTTCTCGACAACTATTTCAACGAAACACAACCGGATGTTTCAATATTCGACCAACCAATGGGTGAAAATGATATCTTCACTGATTTGTTCTTGGATGGTGGAAGTATGATTAGCATTGGAGATGAGTTTAGTCATTCCAGTATCAAAGATATTGGTTCAATGTTCAGTGAATTTGATGATTCATTGATATCAGATCTGTTAGTCGTTTAACATCATGAGCCAGAAGCAGAGAGAAACCATCAGCAAATATCTATGGCGACTGAAAATTTTTGATGTGTTTTTTTTTTTAATTTTTATTTAATGAGCCTTTTTAAATTTAATAATTTAGTTTTGAGCCTGTAAAACAGTTTTGGAGAAATAGTGGAGAAAAGTTAATGAGTTTTGTTCTGATTCATTAATTAAATGTGTTATTAGTTGCACGAACGTGTTTATTTTCAAGTAATATTTTAATTATATTAGCATTTGCATTTATTCAGTTTGTTACTAATTATTTAATTTAGAAAAGCCAAAGTGGCATTCTCTTTGTCGATGTCATAATATGAGGCGTAAATTACGGTCGTGGCCATTGAACTGTAGGTGTTTTGGTTTGGTCTGATTAATGTTTTAGTTCAGCTTTTAACCAAAAGAGAAGAGGTGTTGAGTTTTAACTTTTATGCCGGTAAGAATATTAATTCATAAAAATTTGTACATATTATTATATAAAATTTGCATATAGTAATAATATGAATTTATTAACTGAAGTGGTTTGAGGCATATTTATCTATCGTACAGCTTATAAATTTATTTAATCTGTCAAGAAGAGATTCGAAAGTTTTATAAATATTATAGATAAACTTATTTTAAATTAATAAAAATTATTTTAAAACACTAAAAAGCAAAAATAATTAAAGACCTAGTTGTTATATTCAAATGAGAAACATAAGAATAACATAGAGAAATATATATTTGATACATATGTAATATTTCGATTTGTGATATATATAAAAATTTAAGAGAATTTATTTGATTACCTACATATATATATATATGGATATTATGAATATCATCAAAATCAGCGGTCAACAACAAACATACAATTTGAAAACATATTTGTAGTCCTTGTTTGTTAGTTCAAAGGTGTTTTAGTCTAATTTTGTCTCCAAAATTGTAATTGTGCAATCGTCAGCTTATAGTTCCACGATTATGTTTTTAAACCGTCGGTTCTAGATTATGGTGTTATTTCATTACGATAATCTTTGTAATTTATTTTTTGGCTCTTCCAGTTTGAAATCAATATAACATGAAGATGACCAAAAAAATACGTATTTATAATCTAACTGCGTTCCAGTTTTATGGCGCAGTAATAAAACAAGTCATATATGCGGTAGACCTCTAGTCCGTCTAAAATTAGGTTCGACCAATAGCATCATGTCTAACTATATAGTCTATATAGAATACCAATAATAGACCAATTATCAAAGTAATTGAGTTTTGTAACTCTTTATTTGTCTCAGCCATCTTTTAACTTTCTTTTGGTCTAAAGTCTGAACTATCTTCGAACTTAATGCAGCAAACAGAAATTTGGGCGTCGCTTTTTTCTTCCGTCGTGCTGGCTTGTTGGCTTCTTGCCGGTTGGTATATTTCTTAAAAACACAATAGCGAGTGAAAAGTATAAGAATTTTATTTGAAATTTAGGTCAAATGTCGGAGAAAAGTAGGTGACACATGGAACATTTTAAAATGAATTAGCGTGGACAAAAGTTAAGCACACACACATAGACCTTTAATTTCATATCACATTTAATACGATATGTATTTGTATTGTTTTCTCTCCACATACGATTTTTCATAAATTTGAAATACTGATAGATTTGGTTTTGTAAAAGCAAGTAATTAATGTTTTTGGCTTTTGCTTTTGTGACGTGAAAGGACAACGTCCCAAAAGGATTTCAATAAGGTTACCACTTGGTCTGTCATCGCCAAGACAGAGACATCATACGTACGCCTTATTTGTTTCCAATGATAGTTATCATATTGTTCTTTTATTCGATTACATAGTATAAGTATATTTGTAGCTGCATTTGTTTGATTCAGAGACATAATTACACTGCTTTTATTATTTTATTTTACATCGAGTTTACACAAATATATTGGAGTTCACCGCTCCACCCAACCTTTTATTTCGAATGATCGCACTATCATTACCCACTCGAAATAATATTATATAGCTATACGTATTCTATCGTAATTCTAAAATCTATCAAAATATAGTCATTGTCTAATTACATTGTTTTCCACTATTTGTCAAAAATGTAAATTGATACTATCAGATTAGCACACAAATAACATGGCGATCGTAATACTTGATATTAGGTTGTGTTTAAAATCGAGTTAAGAAGAAAGTTGTATTAATTTTATTGTTGTCATCCGGTTTGGAAGAGAACTAGCTAGCTAGTTCAAGTATTGACCTTATGTTTGTCTTACATGTATTGTCAAGAATCTTTCTAACCGTGAAATTCTATATTTTCCATTCATTCGTCGTCTATTGACTTTTCTAATTTTAGAAAAAAACGTATCAACATTTATAATTATTTTAGATTTCACGTAAGATCTACTTAATTTGGATTAAATACTATACAGCTCTTATATTATTTTATTTTTTTTGCTAAAACAACTCTTATATTGGACTCAAGCCCTTTCTCAAAAAAAACTCTTAAATTGGACTCTGACAAAATAATTGTGCCCTTAATCAATTTAACGACCAGTATCCATATATATTATTTATCAAAGGAAACAATGTTTTGAAGCGATACAATATAACAGTCATGATGATTTCCATTAATCTTGAATTAAAACTAACATATCCATAAAGAGTGATTATAGTCACGGGTGTGCTCGTGTTTCAGAATATATATACATACATGTATATGTTTTGTATGTATATATATGCACATAATATATTTCAACGTATATGATGCATGCTTGATAAGGATAACTTAATTTAGTGTTAATACGAGTATATTATTTTACATGGGAATTAAGGATCATGATGTCTCTCTACTCACGTTAGTCCGTGTTCGTCACATTCAGCTCTTTTTTCCTTTCGTACCATTTTCAATATGTATATACATACATAGTTCCCCTTTTTGTAGTATCGAAAAAGTCACCATATGCAATTAATTTAGTTAAGTTTTCATAATTAAATTTCCTACACTTTGAGGTAACCTTCTTTTTTTTTTTTTTTATCTTTTCCCCTTTAGAATTACTTTGAGGCACTTTTAAGCTTTAAGTTAACTCTTTATACAAATTATTATTGCTTTATATAGTCGTTCTATGACCGTGGCTTCTATCCTAAGTCAAAAGACTCAAGTCTAGACAACCCGGTTATGTACTTAGGTCCAAACAGAAGATCCCAACTTCGAAATCCAAACATGATACTTCCAAATG